TTTTTTTTTTTTTTTTTTTTTTCTTTGTGGTACCAGGGATTGAACTCGGGCCTTTGTGCTCGCAAGGCAGCCAGTGCAACCACTGAGCCAAATACCCCACCCATTGGGGTGATATGAAAGGAACAGAGCAGCTAGCTTCCCTTTCGCATGAATTTGTTGCCTAATCTCTGAAGAGTCGCACAGCTGTGGCTGGCAACACACTTGGGAAGAAGTGCTGGGGCCTCCACTTTCAAGCACGTCTAGTGTAGACTCCTGCCTAGAACCGCTCTCCTACTATCCCCACTCTGAGGGGCAGTTGGCTGGTCCCCCACTCTTCACAGAGCCTCTTGGCTCTGAATTTTTCCTGGGCCTTCCCTGTATCTGTACAAAAGCTACCATCCTGAGTTGGTCGAGCCTCTTCAAGTACAAGAAACAGAAACCCATTTCCCTTAGTGAAATGGCCTCAGGGAAGCCAGAAGAGAGCCTTCTGGAATCCTGGCCCGGAGGGGACAGGCAGTGAGGCCTGGAAGCAGACCAGACGGGACCTGGAGGGCCTGCGTCTGCCCAGACTTGCTTATTGTCTTTCAGGGACTTGCTTTATTCTGCTTCCCTTATCCCATAATGGATCCCTTACCCCAACGGGCCATGTCCTACAGCAAGCTCTGGCTCTGAAGATTATTATTGTCCTGTTCTCTGGAGCCGAGCAGCTGGGCTGTGACAAGCATGTGGTTAGTTCTGGACACAGGGGCGGTTTGGTTATGCTGTCCTCTTCCTGACAGAGCAGACTGCTTGGGGACGGGGCGTTTAGGGCGATCTCTGAGCTGAACCTGGAACCTGACAACAGACTGGAATTTCTTCTACAAGGGTACGATGAGGCATGGTAAGAGTGACTGTGCATCTAATTGACCACGACAGCCAGAAAGCGGTGAACATGAGCTCAGACTTAGAATTCTGCTGGACAAGGCTGGGATTTTTGGGAGAAGCATTTGTATTTCCTTTATTTTCTTAGTAAGTTTCCATTTGAACGTTCCCATGAGAGTTGGCTGAAGTGGAGCAAGAAGAGGAAGGACAGACAGAGCAGGGATTTAGATGAGTACTGGGCTTCCAGCTGCTCTAGGCTGAGGGCTGAGCTGGGAGATGATGTGTGAAGCTTCCATTGTGTCTGTAGGCCCAGTGCCAGTGAGGGTTGCTTCAGGTTGTACCTGCCTCCCTCAGAGCCGTGTCTATTTCTAGGCCACTGAATGGCGGGCAGTAGCTGGCCTCTTCCACGTGTCAGCAGCCCAGTCTGAGGTTTTCACCATGTGTGGCTGATGGATGGTTGCATCCCCAGTACCTAGCTCGGTGCCTGGCATCTATCAGTAAACATTTGTGAGTGAATGAGGACAAGACGGTGTCTGGCAAGGAGCTCGCTGCAGGAAGAGCGGTGTCTGCCCCGGAGTGCCAAGCCCCAGACGGCTCTGTCTCTGGCAGGTGCAGACTGGCAGGGGTCAGTGTTTATTCTCTGCTGCTGACCATCTGCCATACACTTCAGTTTGGGCCGGGTCCCCAGAGCTTATTGTATCAAGTTCTCTATCTGTCATTGCCTCTCCTGTACTGTTACGATCTTTGGCCAGAGGGTAGATCCCAGTCTCCTGGCACTGCCCTAGCTGTTGTGTTGAGGGTTAGAAACAGAGACACAGTCTGTGAAATGAGGTGGGGGTGGACCAGTCTTGGACGGACAGGTGCCTGTGTCCCATGCATCTTGATTCCGCCTTCTTATGTTGCAGGTTTTTCCAGAAGTCGAGAGGCTGGGGCCTCCCAAGTGCACATGGCTTCCCAGAGCAGAGGCCAGACTTGAGCACACATTGCTGATTTCATACCCTGTGTTTTTTCCATGGCTAATTCTGAATGCCCTCCCAAGTTTTTGCTAGGACAGGAGTTTGGCAGGTTTGCACACGTGCATGTGTATGTGTGCACATGTGCGTGTGTCTCCTCATCTAAGTTGTTCTTTTTCACTATGTTGATCTAAGGAATGCCCTGAATTCCTTACAGATGCTGCCTTCTCTGACCATGAAACTCCAGGTGTCCGAGTTGCTGATGGCCTGGTTTGGCATCCTGAGCTGTGTGCAGGCCGAGTTCTTCACTTCTGTTGGTACGTGGAAGTACTGCCTGTTCTCACTGAGGGTGGGATGGCTCCATCCATTGGTTTTGCCTAGTTCTAGTAGAGTAGAACTTGCAAAGTTGCTTCTCCGTGCACTGATCCTGATGATCTTGGTGTCCAGTGAGCCAGCTCCCTGAATTATGCCTTCCCATTTGGGAAGTACACCCATACACAGGCTTTTTGGCTCTTTTACCACCTTCCCCTGGGGCAAAGGAGTGGTGAACTCTGTGTCCTAAGGATTTAGCCTTTCCTCTCCTTCTCATCTGGAGTTCCAGAGCCCTTAGTACATCCCTGCCAGTAATAGGACCAGCTGGGCAATGGCAGGAGAGTGATATTTGGGGCTTCTGCTTTGAGTAGCCCCTGGTACACTTATCCTGCACATCTTCCTGGCACCTCTGCCTTTCTCTTCCTGAAGTTAGGCCCGAGACCATATGAGTGGCTAGGCCTCTTTCTTTCAAATCCCCGTGGTTCCCAGAGAGCCATTACATCCTTGGCCCAAGGGACTTGCTTTTGTGTTCACGTTTTATGCCCAAGGGAAGGGGCTGACATCCCTTACGTGTTTCATACTGGCCTTTACTTCCCTCCTGCAGGGCACATGACTGACCTGATTTATGCAGAGAAAGACCTGGTGCAGTCTCTGAAGGAGTATATCCTCGTGGAAGAAGCCAAGCTCGCCAAGATTAAGAGGTGAAAGTGCCCTAAGGCCCTGCAGCCAACCTGAGCCGGGCCTCCTGCCCAATACCCTGAACCCACCCAGGAATTCAGGAGAGGAGAGAGTGGGAGGATATGAGGCTGGCCTGGAGGTTTCTTCCTGCCAGTCCTCTGGAGTAGCTAAGTACATGGGCGAAGGAATAATTGTGCTTTTCCTTTCTACTTAAGACTTTTTTTAGTACTTAGATTCCCCAGGTTTTACCTAGATTAAGGAGCTAGAAAGATCTGTGGGGATTACTGTATTCATGTTTTATTCCTCTTTGTGAAGGTAAAGAATTCTCACCAGGAAAGTTCCTACAGGTCAAGACCTGTGTGGGTAGAGTGTTATTCTTTTCATTTGATTGTGCAGTTGGGCCAGCAAAATGGAAGCCCTGACCAGCAAGTCAGCTGCAGACCCTGAGGGCTACGTGGCCCACCCTGTGAACGCCTATAAGCTGGTGAAGCGGCTGAACACAGACTGGCCTGCGCTGGAGAACCTCGTTCTGCAGGACTCGGCTGCAGGTGAGGGCCGGGAGCAGGTGGACCATGGGCGTGTGCCTGTGCCTGGGCTGTGGGGTCGAGCGAGTTTGGATCTGTGCACACAGTGTGGTGTGGCTGCTCAGACCTGCCCATCCTCAGCTCTCCCTTCTGTGTCCTGCCAGTGGGCTGTTGTTGTTTTTTTGCAGATGTATAATAGTAATCAATGTGTGCCTTTTTGTAGTGTTTTATTCCCCCCACCACACATACCATTTTTTGGTGATTTTTTTTTTTGTTTTTTAGTATCAGAGATCGAACTCTGAACGCTGTGCTTGTGAGGCAGATGCTGGAACCACTGAGCTAAATCCCCTGTCCTTGTAATGATTTTTTTATGATTATACTTTATTTATACATGTTTTTATGGAAACATTAGGAAACACAGACGGAACCCCACATGAAAATTGTAGTTTTTACTCCTGGTGCCCGGAGCAATGTAGTGCCCGGTGGTAAGCAGTGTTAAAATTATAATCTTCCTACACATGCATATACCCTTTTTAAAAAGGGAGCCATGTGTATACTAGGGGGTGAAAACTCATTTGCTTCAAGAGACAAATTAATTAAAATGAGTGAATTGGGCTGGGCATTGGGACCAAGGCAAACTGGGAAGCTAAGCCCCATCTGAGTTCTTTCCTATTTATGTTTTCTACAAACAAAACATCTTTTGATGGGTTTCTAAGAGTATAATCTTCCCTGAATCTCCCAGCTTCTCTTTTTTTGGGTGGGGAGACTAGCAGAGGTTTGAGTCTGGGTTTTGCTTTGTAGCCCTGGCTGGCCTTGAACTCTCAACCTCCTGCCTCAGCCTCCTGAGTGCTGGGCATTACAGACATGAGCCACCACACCCAGCACCAGCTTCTCTGCCTCATGATTTTGGTGGCTGGATAATAATCTGTCTCGCTGTTACACTGTAAGACTGATTACGTCTTCAGACACGGGATTGTTTCCAAATTAGCAGCAGTCTTTTATGTATGTCTTGGTATCTATCTCAGATCACTTTTCTAGAAAAACTAGAAATGGTATTTACAGGTCAGAGTACAAATTTTAAAAAAGCTTTTTCTGCAGTGGCAATCTCTGTGCTCTGACCCTTTCCTGTCAACAGGCACGGATGGTGGGGTGGCCCAGGAAGCAGGCCTCATGGATGCCCAACCCTGGTCAGCCCTGCGTCCTGTCCCTGAGCTGGGAGTGCCGATGAACCTCAGACGAGCTGTCTCTGGCTGAGACAGTCCACCCCACGTGGCCAGGCAGGGTTGGACTTGACTGGGGCGGCAGGGCTGTGGGGGGGGATTGGTGAGCTTGGCCAGGCTGGAGCCAGGCCCAGTGAGCTCACTGCCTCCAGAAACCACGGCTGCCTTCCGAGCTGCCTCCTCCCAGGCTGGGCCTCTGGCTCAGAACAGGCTGTTCCGCCTGCACACTGGATCCCCACACTGATCTCGTTCTCTGTGACCTCTGCTCCTATCCACATCTGGAAAGCCTCATAATTACCTGGAAGGGGATCAGACAGGCTCAGAGAGGATTAGGTGGTTTTCATCTCTGACTTTTAAGTTCTTTCCCCTGAAATAAGGGGAACATACTGATAGTGCACTGTGTCTCCTTCTAGGAGCGTGCATTCTGTTCCTGGATTCTAAACTCTTCAGAGTCCCTCCCCATGAGGAAAACAAGATAGCAGCTTCCTGGTGCCCACTGGGTCTGCAGGCGTGGCTAGAAATGGGTGTTTGAGATTCATGTTGTAAGAGTAGCTGACTGTGGGTGCTGCTACTCTTGGGAAAGGGCCAGGAAGGAATGACTTGGAGTTTTCTTCCTTGTTCTCAGCTCATGGGCAGAACTGAAGGCCTCAGTGAGTTTGGGAAGATGTGGCCCCACCTGAGTCCTGGGCTTATAAGAGGTGACCTTTTGCTTGCAGTCCCAGAAGAGCCTTTTCAGGGTATTGAGCTGTCAGAGACTCTCCCGGGTTCTAGGCTGTGGAATTGGGCACCATAAGTGGGGAGCTTTATCCCTTGATTTTGACTCCTAGACTCCCAAATACAAACCAGTATGTAGGATGTTTCTTATTCAGTTCCAAATGAGCAGCACAGGCAGTTAGAAAAGAAGTGTACAAAAGGAGAAATCTTGTGATCAGCAACCATCAGGAAGGATTTCTTGGTGGAAGGGCATATATTATACATATAT